ACGCATATACACACATATACACTACCACACATGCACACATATGCACGCATATACATACATACACACACAACCATACATGCATTCATATGCACGCATATACACACACACACACACATACACACTGCTGCACACGACTGTCCTCTGAGCTAAATAACACCTTCAGGTTCAGCTGTGCCCACTTGCATCATCCCAGCTGGGCTTGTTGACTGTTTATATCCCCATGTAAGGGGGGGCTGGTTAATGACTTCCAGCCTGACCTTTGGTAGGAAGCACCCATACTCCCAGAAGTTGCCCCTCATTTGTGCTCTATAAGTAAACCCAATAAACTCATTGGCTCCCCAAAATGAAATGTGGTGGAATTGAACCTCAGTTTGTCATTGGGACCTTATGAGAAGGGGTAAGTGTTGTATATGTCTCCCCTGGGAAAGAATTTTAGTAACACACACATGAACATGTACACACATGAAAGAGAGAGGGGGCAAAAAAAGGGAGGGAAGAAGGAAGAAGAGAGAAAGAAAGGCTGTAGAGTGTGCTGGGCTGGCAGCTCCAGGCGCTTACTCAGAGGCCATGATCTAAAAGAGCCTGCAGGGGCACACCACTTCTTCTGTGGGTCACACTGGGCAAGGTGCTCAGTCAGGACAGTTTCTAGCTCAAGAAGTGCACTAGTGAGTGCAGACCGCACTCCCTTCCAGATCAAGAGATCCCTGTTAATCAACGTGCCCCCACATAGCTGGTGTGTGCCAAGGGCCACCATTCTGCGGAGAAGCAGCCCTGTCAGGGTCTCCAGAACCACCACCACCATTGGTGACTGTTCATGGGCCCATAGTGCATGCCCTGACAAGGGCTTCCTTCCCTACTCAGTGAGTGTCACAAAAGAATGTGACATCCTGTCCACAGTCAATGTGCTGGTTAAAACCATTCTATGCAGGCCTGGAGACATGGTTCTACTGTTAGAGTGCTTGCTGCAGGGGGTGGTGGCACACACCTTTAATTTCTGCACTCGGGAGGCAGGGGCAGGCAGATTTCAGTGAGTTTGAGACCAGCCTGGTCTACAGAATGAGTTCTAGGACAGCGAGGGCTACATAGAGACCTTGTCTCAAAAAAAAAAAAAAAAAAAAAAAAAAAAAAAAAAAAAAAAAAAAAAAAAAAAAAAAAAAAAAAAAAAAAAAAAAAAAAAAAAAAAAAAAAAAAAAAAAAAAAAAAAAAGCCAGAAGTCAAACAAAAGCACATGCTGTCCTTCCAGGGGACTAGGTTCGGTTTCCAGCACCCACACCATGTAAATCACAAACACCTATGATTCCAGCTTCAGAGGGATCCACTACCCTTTTCTGGGCTCATGGGGACCTTCACGGAAGCGTGAACACACACAGGATAAAATCAAAATAAAAACACATTCCAGCTCCAATGCTGTGGAACAGAATGTTTGTTCATGTAAAGATTGTATTACACTTGTTTACGCTTCATTTATTTAACTATGTAAAGATGTGCTGCATCTGTTTCACCTGGCCTGCCTAAGGCACCTGATTGGCCTAATAAAAAGCTGAATGGCCATAGCTAGCAAGTAGAGGGATAGGTGGGGCTGGAAGGAAGGAAGAATAGATAGGAGGAGGAATCTAGGCTCAAGAGGGAGATGCCCAGGGTCAGCCAGACACAGAGGAAGCAGGAAGGTAGGACGTGCAGTATGGAAGTGAAAAATGACACCTGTTCCGTTCTGCACCTACTCGTTACACGCTACAGGAACTAGGCTGAAAATTTAAAATCATACACACAGACAGAGACACACAGACAGGGCCATGGGGACATCCTTGAGACAAGTATGTCCCCTTCATTGTGCTCAGGGACAGTTTCTATAGGGCTCTGGCCATGCCCCAGCTCTCGGGATCTTTCAGCTGCGGACTCATCAGAACCCACTCCCCTGCTGCTCAGAGCAGAGGAAAACAAACTATTTACAAGAAATTCAGGGTCTGGTGATCTGCAGTCCCCAACATGAAAGAAAGGTAAAAAGCCCCAAGGCAAAATGTAAATGAAGAGAAACAAGTTAAAATAAGTTATAAGAGCTAGTGGGACAAGCACAAAATAAGGTTGAATATTCATAACTAACAATAAGTCTCTGTGCCATGATTTGGGGGCCAGTGGTCCAAGAAAGTCTGCTATATTCAAACATCAAGACCACCCAACATGGGGGCTGGAGAAATGGCTCAGTGGTTAGAAGCACTGCCTGCTCTTCCAAAGGTCCTGAGTTCAATTTCCAGCAACCACATGGTGGCTCACAACCATCTGTAATGAGGTCTGGTGCCCTATTCTGGCCTGCAGGCATACACGCAGACAGAATATTGTATACATAATAAGTGAATATTTTTTTTAAAAAAACCACTCAACAAAGTGCGGGCATCATCTTAAACGAGAAGACACTGAGGCTCAGGGAGAAGGTGCACGCCCCAACATCACAGAGGGGGGAGGTTGCAGGGAAGGTGCTGCTGGTGGTCCTGAGACTGACCCTGGTGGCCAGATGCTTGACCGCAGATGCAGCCTCCAGCTCCAGCTCCCCCGACAGCCATGGCATCTCAGAGCTACCCCCCCCCCACATTTCTAAGCTGGTTCTGTACTTCCTGGCCCCCTTCTAAGCCTATCAAAGCCCCCATTCTCTGAGCACAGCCATGCCAGCCCTCAGCCCCTCCCTGCCAAGAAGCCAGGTGTTGGGGCCCTGAGGGGGGCTGCCTGAAAGCAGGAGAGGGTACAAGTCTGCACAGCCCTCCTGGTGGCCACTTCAGATGGGCACCCAGTGACAGCCAGTGCTGAAGAGGTGCCTGGAAGGCAAGAACTTTGGGGACAGCTTGTTCACACCTCAGGCCACAGCTTTGGCCAATATGGGAGTTAAAGTGGCAGGAGATCACAGGTTCTTCAAGAGAGCCTGAAAACGTCTCCAGACAGGCTGGGAGACAGCCAGCAGCACCATGTGGGTATGAAGGAGGCCTGGCCTCCTCCTCACTCTTTTCCTGAGTCCTTGGTCAGTAGTCCAGGGCCAGCAGCTTCTGGTTCAACCAGCCAACCCCTGTAACACTGTACTTCACCATCTCTCCCAGAAGACCTCTGAGGTTCTGTGAAGTATCACTCCCTGTTGCTAGGACACGGGTTTGTGCAGGAAAACTGGCTCTGTTGCTGCCAGTGCCAGGACCTTGTCGAAGACCTAAAGGGCTGCACACAGCAGCAGGCATGGGTCCAATTGCCCCTCAGATGGAGGATAGAAATGGACTTTGGCTATGAGTCAAGACTTCAAAACTGGAGGGAAGGTACTTATCGGCAACGGTTAGAGTTGAGTCTGGATAGACTTCAGTGTAAATGTCCTGAGCTGACAACAAAGGAGGCCTTCATAATGCCAACCTTCTGGAAAGGGCTCCCTCATGAAGGCCCAGCCTACAGTGGGCTGCTGAGCCCCTAGACAGAATCCTTCAGACAGACCTTAGTAAGGGTGTGTATGATGTAGGAAAAGATTCCACATGTATGCTGGAGGCCCTGCTGGGTGTGGGTGGGTTTACAGCCCAGACAGAAGCAGAAGCAGGGTTCCCCAGGCCAGGGTGTTCCTAACAATCTGCTCTTCTGGCTTCCCCTGGTCTCAGGAATCTGCCCACAGCAGTCTCCAGCCTGCCCCAGGAGCAGCTCTCCCTCGGGCACAAAGATGTATGCACCGGTAACTATGAGCTCGAGGGTGGGGGCGCGGGGACGTTGGGGAGTACCTCTTTTCCTGTCTTCTCTGGCCACAAAATTGCCTGAGAAAAAAAGTTGGGTTACATCTGAGACACCAATTGGACTGAATTTCAATCCCTTGGTTTCCTGGCCCCACCTGGTGGACCTGCAGTCCTGTAAGCCCATGTGTTGCTGGACCCAGACCCAGAGTCCCTCCCGGCTGACTACTGCGCTAGTCTTAGGACCTCCAACCCGGCCGGGTCCTGGCTGGCGTCTTCAGGAACCCTGCTTTGTTGCCTTTGTCTCCCTGCGTGATTCTGCTCTGGTTCCAAGGTCCTTCTGTCCCTACAGTGGGCGGCAGGAGCTGGAACTCTTTCTTTAAACTTTTAAGAGTTTGGAGAGGACTTTGTTTTTTTAGAGGAGCTGGAACTCTTTCTTTAAACTTTTAAGAGTTTGGAGAAGACTTTGTTTTTTTTAGAGGTTCTGAAGGCGGTTTGGAACTAAGTCTACAGCATGTGGTGGGGGCATGGTTAGGGAATTGTCACAACATCTCCTGGGTTGGGGGTTAAGGTGTCACAGGTGGGCAGGGTGCATTTGGGGATCTGGAGATGACGAGGCCGGGACTCCCACACTGACCTTGCTGGCATCCAGAGGAACGAGGGGCAAGGATCTGGCTGAGTCGCCTACAGCTGGTGCCAAGGTTTTGCCTAGAGTCCCAGGCGGGAGAGGATGGAGAGCCTGGGAAAGAAGGGAGAAGCAATGGGCAAAGTGGGGGCAGGCAACTGGCAGTCCTCAGGCCCACCCCGGGCACCAGGCTAGCAGGCTCTCGCTCTGAACGTGGGCTTTTGCAACCTGTGACGTTTGCTCCATCAATACCCTAGACTTTCTTGACTTGTGTTGGCTAGCCCGTACTTCTGCTGTCCCACCTCCGCCTAGCCAACGACTGCAAAGCCAGCTCCTCTTCTATGGAGGGAGAGGAAGCACCGAGGGAGTATAAACCAATCAAAGCTTCCTCAAAGGGGAAGCTGTGGTCGTTTGCACCCTCTCGGACCTCAGAATACGGCTTTCCATTTTCACCCGCCAGCGCCCTCTTTCCCTGGGCAAAGCTCCCATCATCCCTTCATCCTCTGAGCTACGAAGTTTGAGTCGGTCCTCCTCCCTTTAACCAATGAGAAGTCTCTCCCGTGTTCTAACTCGCCTTTTTGCGTAGCCACAGCTCCCTCCACTGCTCCCTCCCCACCCCTTCTGCCCTCCCCGCTGCTAGTCCTGGGCTCCCGTCCGCGGAACCTTGTCCTACTTCGCTTGTCCTCCCTCGCTCTGGCTGCTGTCGCCCGGAACCCTCGCAGAGAAGACTACGGGTCCCGTGACCGCGCAGAGCCCCCCGCGGGGGCGGCTAGAGTGGGGACGGCGCAGAAGGCGGGGCGCGTGGGAAGAAAGGGGGTTTTGTGCGGCGCCCGGCGGGCTGGCGCCCCCATCTGCGTCCCGCGCACCCGGCCCTGCTCGCGCCCGCGCATTGCGCCGCAGTCTCTCGGCCGCGGCTGCGGGACGCACGGTGTACGGAGGGGACCTCACAAGGTGAGTGCGGAGGCCAGGCCCTGCCAGTCTCTTACTTGCTGTGTGACCTTGGGCAAGTTTCTTGACCTCTCTGAGCTTGAGAATTCGGGCACGGTTAAGGGCGCTGGCCTGGCTGCTGTGGACGACGGGGTTGGTCGCCCGCCGCAGCTTCCTGAGGTCCCCGCGCCCCCGAGGGCGCGGTCAGCGGCGCCTTTCTTAGGGCAGGTGCACACCGTACTGTACGGGCCGCTAGCTCCCTGCCTCCGCCGCGCAGCCTGCTGGAGCCAGTGCGCGATTGAGCAAAGGAGCTGTGCGGAGCAGCTAAGGGTGCCCCGGTGCCTCCCGGAAGGGTCAGAGCGTTTGAGCCTCGAACAGAAGCCACTCTTGTCCCAGGACAATCGGATCTCCTGACCTCAGGCTTCCCCTCTAGTCCCCTGCTGTCCCGAAACGAGTAAAAGGGAGGACGAGTGTGAGTAGCTACGGCTCCCACGGAGAGTGGCTCAGCCTGGCCTCTCCAGCAACCCTTCTCCTCAGAACCTGACTCCCTTCTTACTTCAAAGCATTAACCCTAGTTACAGCTTGCACAGCCCAGCCAAGAGTGAAGGCCACAGCTCTGGTTAGCAGGGGGTCTGGCCTGGAAGGACATGGCAGGACCTGAGAGAAGGAAATTCCCCATCACTTAAGCTCCAGCGATTGCCAGCTGTGAGCAGAGGGAGAGAGAAGAATTGCCTGGCGTCCTAACCTTGGTACCCTGCTGCATCATCAGGGTACCTGATCCGTAGACCTGGGTCCCCATAGTCTTCCGACTCTGGCCTGGCTCTTAAAGACTGTGTTTATTAGCTCTTCAGCTTTCCCTCCTGAGGGCAAATGCCCTGGCTCCTGATTTAGCTCTGCTGGTGGCCCAGAGTTCTCTCTAGCCTTCTCTGGGCACCCACCTGCATTTTCCCAGAGTGTAAGTGCACTGAGGTCCTCAAAAAGAGAGTGTTTCCAGAGCTGATGGCCAGGGGGGCTGGCCTTTCCCCTTCTGGCACCCTTCTCCAGTACATTCCAAGTTGTAGGCTTTCACAAAAGATGGGTGGGGGAAGGAGCAACTGGATAGAGGCCAGACTGGCAGGGACAGGGTCTTTGTCCCAGCTGGCTTCTGAGCCAGGAGATCCGGTGGAAAAGCCCGTGCCAGGCAGAGAGGAATGACTGAGAGCAAAGTAGGAGGGATGGAGGGGGCAGAGGATGCTGGGCACCAGGGGCAGCTTCCTTACAAAGTCCTTGTGGGGAGAGGAAGCAGGAGCGGCTACAGTGCCTGGGTTCAGTCTAGGAGGCCCTCCTGGAAGAGAAGGCTGGGCTTTACCGCTGTGGAAGGAGGCTCAGGGTTGACACCTGAGGGCAGGGGAAAGTGGGCCCACAGTTGTGCACCCATCCCCCACCCATGGATCTATGTGGCTGCCGGAACCTGAAGGTGCTCAAGCTCCTCGCATGGAATTCTGTCTTTGCATCTTACCCACGCAAGTCTTTCATACTCAGGAACCTGTCTCTGGGTGACTTACAATTTCCAAGCGTATGCATGCTGTTTAGGGAACAGTGACAAAAAAATCTGTATGTGTTCAGTACTGCCTCCTTTTTTCTGACTGGTTGGGCGCACAGATGTAGAACCCAAGTGCAGGGATAGCACAGTGCCACCCATCATGGGTTATAAATGCTCATTGAACTTCTACCCTGTCTGGTGCTGGCACGTGCGCAGGCTGCTTTCTGCTGTAGATTATAGTTAGGCAAGAAGATAATAGATATACAACGATAACAATGTATAGATAACAGCTAGATAGGCAGATAGACAGACAGACAGACACTCAAAGCATATGACCCCACCAAAATGCACAAGGTAGTAATGACGATGCTTTTTTTCTTTATAATTAAGAAAATAGAGACTCAGAGATGGTAAGAGCCTTGGCTAGGTCACACAGAGATTCCTCCTGGTGCTGAGGAGATGGGGTTAGAAACAGAGTTAGTGGTTATTCTGGTATGTGTAGAGAGGCAGAGGAAGTCCATCCCCAAATCTAACGCACCTTTCATCTTTCCTCCTCAAGTTCGTCCATCAGTTTGCAGCATGATCCCACTGCTGTCCCTGCTGGCAGCCCTGGTACTGACCCAGGCCCCTGCAGTCCTAGCTGACGATCTGAAAGAGGACAGTTCAGGTGAGCAACCCTCCAGAGGACCCATGTCTCTGCTGCATCTCCCCTACAGCAGAAAGCTGCCTCCGTTCAATCCCAGTCATCTGCTTTTAGCCTGGTACCGGAAAGGAAAGGAGACAGATGAGGAAGTTCTGTGGGCAAGGGCTGGAGCCCACTGCAGAATAGGGATGAGCTGGGGGCCTTGAAAGGTGGGGACGTCTTGGAGTCAGTGCAGCAAAGGGGCTGAAGGCCTGAGGCTAAGGGTGGAGGATCGCATTCAGGACCCTGGGCTGGGATCAGCATTCGGAGCCCGGTGTAGGCACCTTAAGCTGGTTAGTCCTGGGGGGCGGGACTTGGAGCCACGCGCACAGGCGCAGTGCGTCCTGCGTCTGGCTGCAGCGGGCTTTGACCCCTGTCCACAGAGGACCGAGCCTTCCGCGTGCGCATTGGCGCCACGCAGCTGCGGGGCGTGCTGGGCGGCGCCCTGACCATCCCATGCCACGTCCACCACCTGCGGCCGCTGACCAGCCGCCGAGCAGTGCCGGGCTTTCCCCGGGTCAAGTGGACCTTTCTGGCCGGGGATCGGGAGGCTGAGGTGTTGGTGGCTCGCGGGCTGCGGGTCAAAGTAAACGAAGCCTACAGGTTCCGAGTAGCCCTGCCCGCCTACCCTGCATCGCTCACGGACGTGTCTCTGGTGTTGAGCGAGCTGCGGCCCAATGATTCCGGGGTCTACCGCTGCGAGGTCCAGCATGGTATTGACGACAGCAGTGACACTGTGGAAGTCAAGGTCAAAGGTGAGAAGAGCGAGTAGAATGAGGTCCCTAGAAAGAGGGAGGAAAGTACTCTGGCCCCCAGGTGAGGAGGCTTAGCAAACCTTGCATGCGCAAAAGGCCCAAGCTGAATTGGGAAAGCAGAGCGGGGAAACAGTCCTACAGCCCTAGAGAACTCAGTCGGACTTTGCCTTTTGTGAACAGAGTGACAGGGAGGGGAAGTCAGTGCGCTGGTGATCGTCAGACTCAGGAGTTCTCTTTGCTCCTCAGGGGTCGTCTTTCTCTACCGAGAGGGCTCTGCCCGCTATGCTTTCTCTTTTGCTGGAGCCCAGGAAGCCTGTGCTCGCATAGGTGCCAGAATCGCCACCCCTGAGCAGCTCTATGCTGCCTACCTCGGCGGTTATGAGCAGTGTGATGCCGGCTGGCTGTCCGACCAGACTGTAAGGTGGGTTGAAGGTGTGGCCGTCACCCTCCATCGCGGTTCCCCAGGGCTCCCTGCCTCTGGGAAGAAAACTGGCCTCAGGAAAGAGGACAAGCCCCTGCCTAGAGCGTACTTTTCTGCACCCCGACATCCTTGCCACACTTGTCACACAGCAGAAAGGTTGATAGGGCAGCCTCCTGGGGCAAGACACCCATCCTTCGCTTCTTCTTTTAGGTATCCCATCCAGAACCCAAGGGAGGCCTGCTATGGAGACATGGATGGCTACCCTGGAGTGCGGAACTATGGAGTGGTGGGTCCTGAGGACCTCTATGATGTCTACTGCTACGCCGAAGACCTAAATGGTGATTGCAAGTGACAAGCCTTCCTGCAACAAGGCCTGGGGCTTCAGTAGACTTCATGTGTCTAAGGGCAGAATAGGCAGGCGCTTGATGTACTCCTCCAAATACTGTTGGGGGGGGGTGATTCGCAGCACTATAGAGTGAGGAATTGGGGCTAGGCTTCTCTATGCACTAATTTTCATTTTGGGTTTCATGCCATCCTTGATACTATCAGGTGGGCAAGATGACCCCATGTCAGGAATGAGTTTGCCTAGGGACCTGTAAGAGTCCAGGGTGGAAGGATGACCCAGCTCTTCTTCTCACTCAGGAGAACTGTTTCTAGGCGCCCCTCCCGGCAAGCTGACGTGGGAGGAGGCTCGGGACTACTGTCTGGAACGGGGTGCGCAGATTGCCAGCACGGGCCAGCTATATGCAGCCTGGAATGGTGGCTTGGACCGGTGCAGCCCCGGTTGGCTGGCTGACGGCAGTGTGCGCTACCCCATCATCACTCCCAGCCAACGCTGTGGTGGGGGTCTGCCAGGAGTCAAAACCCTCTTCCTCTTCCCCAATCAGACTGGCTTCCCCAGCAAACAGAACCGCTTCAATGTCTACTGTTTCCGAGGTGAGTAACCTCAGAAGCAGTACCAGACCTGGGAGTCTAGCCTCAGCTTCACCATCTTCTTGGCCATTCATCCACAGGGGTCTTATTGGTGCCCAGCTTGTCATCTTCCCTGTACCCTCCGCATCACTTCACCTCCCTCCTGCTCTGTACCAGTTTCCACCGGTTCCAAGGTTGCCTCAATCCCCACATCTCTGTCCTCACACACCCAGGAACTCCTTATTGTGCTTACAAGTGTCAAGTCTTTCAACACTGAGTGCTGATGAGTGGACAGAGGGTGGTACCTGAAAGTCAGCTGGGTGCAGATTCTGAGCCCAGCGCCTTGTCCTGAAGGGAACAGTTGGGGCATTAGCATGAATGGGCAGGGAGCAGAGGTGGAGGACAGAGGTCTGGAGTGGGTGGAGCTCACTGGAACAGGACAGTATAGTCCATCTGTCCTGGCTGGAGACAGCCCTCTGGGCTCCTCTCACCCCAGTTCTCGAGTCTCTGTCCTGTGTTCCTTCCCCTGAGCCACTGAGTAGCCCTTTCTCTGTTGCCTTAGTTGAGCTCCAAGCACCTCAGACACTGATGATTGAATACTGTACCTGAGGAGATGGAGTCTGTCCCCTTCTCACCCCAAACTCAGCCTGTCCCCATACTCTGTGTTCCATTTCTTCAGGGGGCAGCTCATTCAGACGTTTCAGATCCCTCCGAAGGAAAATGAGCCCCCACTTTGCCTTATAACAAAGAGTTCTTTCTATCGTGTATCTAATGTGTTAATGCCTGTGTCTGTTTTCTCAGGATGGAGTTTCCCTCGCATTCTCTATACCATACGCAGAGAATGCTTGGCCTAGAACTAACAGGCACTGCATTAGTACTCGAGGGAGGAGTGGTGATGCTCCAGGGTGCCCTGAGCTCCCTGTGAGAACTTGTGGAGGATGAAGCACATTCCAGGTCGTTTGAGGTCTGACCCAGCCTCAGATGCAGGCCAGCTGACTCCCGTTGGCCTTTTCCTCTTGCCACAGACTCAGCCCACCCCTCTGCCTCTTCTGAAGCCTCCAGCCCAGCCTCTGATGGACTAGAGGCCATTGTCACAGTGACAGAGAAGCTGGAGGAGCTGCAGTTGCCTCGGGAAGCTATGGAGAGTGAGTCTCGAGGGGCCATCTACTCCATCCCCATCATGGAGGATGGGGCAGGAGGAAGCTCCTCTTCCCCAGAAGACCCAGCAGAGGCCCCTGGGATTCTCCTAGGTAACCTTAAACCCATACCTTGTATTCTCACTCCATTAGAGAAGTTGGGGGCAGGAGGGCAAGTCCACTGGATGCTGGGGTCATGGGCTGGCTTAGTTCTGGCCTTCATCAACAGTTCCACCATAAAAGGCATCTCTCCTGTCCCGCTCCCAAACTTGGTATTCAAGTAAATTCCACCTCCAGTCCTCTGTACTAGAGAAGCAGGTGTTTAGAGGGTGCTCTCTGGGAAGGAAATATATTCCTTATCTACCCCTCAGATAAGGTAATTTTGGCAGACTGGGAGAAGGAGGTGCAACAGCCGTGTCTGCCTGAGCTAGAGGCAGCTTGCAGAATTCTCCAGAGTAGCCTCACAGTGTAGCCAATGGTCAGAGTTCTTCCCGACAGACACCTAGGACTCCTCTCTCCCAGGCCTCCCAGGTCCCCTCCCCCAGGCCCTACCCTTCCCCTACCCTCCCCAGCTTGCTCTGGGGTGCTGTCCCTGGTGCTGAACCATTTTGCTGTGGTCAGAATCGGAAACCCAATCCATTGCACCACCTACCCGGTCCTCAGAAGAAGAGGTAGCCCTGGAGGAAGAAGAAAGATACAAAGACACAGAGGCTCCAGAGGAAGAGAAGGAGCAGGAGGACCTGTGGGTGTGGCCCAGGGAGCTCAGCAGCCCTCTCCCCACTGACTTGGATACAGAGCACTCACTCTCCCGTGTGTCCCCACCAGCTGGGGCAGTTCTGCAGCTGGGTGCATCGCCTTCTCCCAGGCCTCCAAGGGTCCATGGACCACCTACAGAGACTTTCCTCCCCACAAGGGAGGGAAGTCTCACATCCACTCCAGATGGGGCAAGAGAGGTATCAGGAGAAACTGGAAGCCCTGAGCTCTCTGGGGTCCCTCGAGAGAGTGAGGAGGCAGGGAGCTCCAGCTTGGAGGATGGCCCTTCCCTGCTTCCAACCACATGGGCCCCTGAGGGTACCAGAGAGCTGGAAACCCCCTCAGGAGAGAAGTCTGGAAGACCTGTGCAGGCCCAGCCAGTGCTGCCCACCGACAGTGCCAGCCAAGGTGGAGTGGCTGTGGCCCCCTCATCAGGTAATTCTGCTGAAGGCTCCATGCCCCCGTTCCTTCTTTTTCTCCTTCTCCAGTTCTGGACCACCTGACACGTAGGCTTTTACTCCACCTTCTCCCCAGATCCTCTGCTGCATTGCCCTCATTCCCTTACCTGTCTCTCCCAGGGAGCTCTGATCTTCTCTGTTTCTCTTTGCTACCCAAGTTCCACTACTGACCACTGGGCCCTCTGCTGTAGCTCACACCTCACTGGCCACACAGAATACCCATCACACCCTTTGAAGCCAGGCCCATCGTCTGCTATTCCCTCCCTCTTCCCTTGGTTCCATCCCTTTAATCACCTCTCAGTGATTCCAGGGAAGCCTAAGAGACCATACCTGCCCCTCACCTCTGGGGACCAGAATATTCACCCCAAAGAGCCTTAAGCCACTACTTCTGTGAAGTATTTTTGACTGTTTTATGGAAAACAAGCCTTGAAATAAATCTCTATTAAAGTGCTTTTGTACCCAGGTGCTGACACCCTGTCCAACTCCAGCGGTCTGTCTCTGCTCATGACTGAGTCTGAATCAGGAATCTGGTCCCGTGTGCCCTCGCCACCCCTCTGTGTCTCTCCATGTATCTCTCTGCCACTCTTCTTCTGCCAACATCCTTGCTGTTCCAACAGGGCAGCAGTCCCTTGCTGTCCCCTCTGTTTCTCCTCGGGCCATCTACACTTCCCCTTCATACTACTGAGTCCCCAGACTTGACTGTACATATCACCCAAGGGAGTCCCCTGTTACCTACAGGAGAAACTCACACAGCCAGGGTGTGGTGTGTGACCTACCCAGGTAGCATGGAGCTAGTTCTATGGCTTCTCCAGGCTTATGTACATCATCTTCCTCCATGCACCCAGGAAGAGCCCTTGTGCCCAGTGTTCCCCTCCTGCACTAACCCTGCACTAATGACCAACCCCCCGAGAAATGGGTTTATGCTCTTTAACAAGAATCTGTCTCATGCAAAGGGTGAGGTGGGATGGGAGAAGAAAATGAACTGATTTCCACCATCTGAGAGGAGCCTAAGGTTCCCATCAGAAGCCCTCAGGAAAGGCTGAGCCCTCCTGGTTCTCACCTCTCCTCCATGGCCCAGGTGGAGTAGCCCCTATGACGTCATCATCTCGCCCATTGCAGCTGCTGCCTTTCTGTCCATTGGCCTTTTTGTGGGTGTAGTGGGAAAGGGGAACTGCTGCAGTATCAGCCCATCACCTGCAGAGGATGTCAGGGGCCGCCTTCCTGCTGTGTCAGGAGGTGGGAAAGAAAAGGAGTAAGGAAAACCCAAAGGGAGTCAAGTCATCCCATACTACCCCGCCAAGGTGCAGGCCCTGTAGCTCACAGCCAGGGTGGGACTTACGCCTTAGAGAGTGGGAGACCAAAGACTGGGTTTAAAAGTCTGTCTCCCATCAGGTGTGGTGACACACACCTTTAATTCCAACTCTGGGGAGGCAGAGGCAGGTGGATCTCTGTGAGTTCGAGGACAGCCTAGTTTACAGAGCAAGTTCCAGGACAGCCAAAGATACACAGAGAAACCCTGTCTCGAAAGACAAAAACAACAGCAATAACAACAACAACAAAAAAGTCTATCTCCCAAGGACTGGAGGAAGCAAATATGAGGATCTCGGGACTGTTACCTTCACGACCTGAGACCAGGCTTCACTTCACTGGGGAGGGAGAAGAGGATCTCAGGACTGTTACCTTCACAACCTGAGACCAGGCTTCACCTCACTGGGGAGGGAGAAGAAAGGAAGCGATGCTTGAAAGGCTGACTGGTGCATTCTACCTGCTATGGCTCGGTCATCCAGCAAAACAGCCCAGCTTCTCCTTCCCCTCCCCTGTCGAGGCCAGCACGAAGCCTTGTGCCTTGTGCGACGCTGGCGGGAGTAGTTCTAAGAAATCTAGTCTGCACTGCTGGTTGAAGAAGCCTCTTTCTCTGGCAGGGCCCAGCGAGCAGGCTGGAAAAGGCGATGGCCCAGCCCGAGACTGACAGGAATCCAGGTTTCGTGATTGACAGCCCAGGGCTCTCTTGGCCTCTTCCCATCAGCTTATCAGGGCTCACAGTGGTGGGAGCACTGTGGCCTTGTACAAGGATGAGTCAGTGAAGAACTGGGAGGTTAGGGTGAGGAGAGAAGCCCAGAACTCGGGGATGGGCTGTAGCAAAGGGCAACTCTAGGCAGAACTGTTACCTCCCCATCTGGAAAGTGTCTGGGTGGGGGATCACGAACCCTCCCCTGGAGAGCTCAGTCTGCACCGCTCCTCTTACAGTTCCCCCCCCTCACTCTCTTTCCTGTCAGGTGACTGTATCCCCAGCCCTTGCCACAATGGTGGGACATGCTTGGAGGAGAAGGAGGGTTTCCGCTGCCTGTGTTTGCCAGGCTATGGGGGGGACCTGTGCGATGTTGGTGAGTGTGTGGAGGGGCAGGGAGGCAGGTTGAAAGACTGGACCTTAACCCCAATAAGCTAGTTCCAAAGGTGGAGGGTGGTCACTGATTTGGGCCTTGCTCTTCAGGCAAGTTACATGGCTGGTCTGAACCTTGCTCTCTCTGTCCAGTCTTCGGAGCAGGGAGGAGGGTAGCCGCTTCTCCAGCGGGCAGGGCTGCACAGAGCAGGGCGGGAGAGCCAGCCGTCCTAGCCACTGCCCAAGGCCTGAGGGCTTCCGGGCTGCTCTAAAGTGGCTCCGAGCCCTGCCTCCTGCTGCCGGCTGTTGAAGAAGCCAATCTGCGACTTGGCAGCCTAAACCGGGCCCTCCTCTGTGCTCCAGGCCTCCAGTTCTGCAGCCCCGGCTGGGAAGCTTTCCAGGGTGCCTGCTACAAACACTTTTCCACACGGAGGAGCTGGGAGGACGCAGAAAGCCAGTGCCGAGCACTAGGTGCGCATCTGACCAGCATCTGCACTCCGGAGGAGCAGGACTTCGTCAACGGTGGGTGGAGCCTGGCTTACTGCGCGTGCTCCACACCAAGCCCACTCCTCATTGCTTCCTCATCCTCTCCGTTCCCACTTCCTTCTCCCTTTCTCCTCTCTCCTCACTCTGTCTTTTCCTTCCTTCACTCCTCCTGCCTCTCACCGGAAAGCCTGCTGTAGGGCGATTGGGCTTCACGTCCCGCATTTGCATGGCGGCCTCGACTGCCGGACTCCCTGTTTTCCCAGGTGCATCTGCTTCCCTAACTCTGTGGTAACACGGTTTGCTCTTCTTCCTTCCTTCCCGAACCTTCCATGGGGTGTGGAGGTTCCTTAAGAAAATCGGGAGACAGGCTAAAGAGATGACTCACGGGTTAAGAGCACTAGCTGCTTTTCTGAAAGATCCAGGGTTCCGTTTCCAGCACCCACATGACAGCTCACAACCATCTATAACTCCAGTTCCTGGGAATCTGAAGGCCTCTGGCCTCTGAGGACACTGTACACAAGTGAGACACGACATTTATGCTGATGAAATACCCATACAAATAAAATTAAAAAAAAAAAAGCTTTCGAAAGACAAGAATTTAGGGAGAGTCTATGATATTAAATATAATTATCTTACCTGGGGGATAAAGAGAAAGGAAGGATGGAGACAGTCGCTGGTGGTGCTGCTTTCCTGGTAGAGCCAGCAGCCACAGGCCTAGCCAACTGCCTAGAAACTGCCTAGGAAGCAGATTTTTGGATGGACTCCCCAAAAGGTCAGTCACTGGCCCAGGAACACAGGGCTTCCTGCTCACTGCACCTCTGTTTTTCTCCCTAGATCGCTATCGGGAGTACCAGTGGATTGGACTCAATGACAGGACCATTGAGGGGGACTTCTTGTGGTCAGATGGGGCCCCTGTGGTGAGAACCCCCACTGCAGTGCAGCCTAGGTCACTTCCTGGATGCCCTTCTGCCTCCAGGACTGTTGCTTCCTCCATTCCGGTCTTTCCCACTGGACCCTTTCTTTCCTTGTCCCTGTCTCCTTGGGCTCTTGCCTTGTTCCTGCAAAGCCCCTCCATATCCTCCCTCCGGTTTCCTCAGGGCGTACCTTCTGGTATTTATAGGGTTTGAGCTCACCACCTCCTCTCCTCCCCCTTCCCAGCTCTATGAAAACTGGAACCCTGGGCAGCCTGACAGCTACTTCCTGTCCGGGGAGAACTGTGTGGTCATGGTGTGGCATGACCAGGGCCAGTGGAGTGACGTACCCTGCAACTACCACCTCTCCTACACCTGCAAGATGGGGCTTGGTGAGGGCTGACAGAGGAAGGCTGATTGGGGCTGCCACTTACAAAAGGAGAGCTAAGCTACCCAGAAGAACCCGTCAGGGTGTACCCCAGACTGCGGGAGGGTGATACGTTACATTGGCCTACTCAGAAATTTTGATTTTTCTTGTCAGTTGTGGCCACTCATTTCCTTTCCATCAAGTTTCTGTGAACCATCATCCACAAACCAGACTCCCAGTTTCTAACTGTATGCCCCTTGCAGTGTCCTGTGGGCCTCCACCACAGCTGCCCCTGGCTCAAATATTTGGTCGTCCTCGGCTGCGCTATGCGGTGGACACTGTACTACGATACCGGTGCCAGGAGGGGCTGGCCCAGCGCAACCTACCTTTGATCCGCTGCCAAGAAAATGGGCTTTGGGAGGCCCCCCAGATTTCCTGTGTGCCCCGAAGGCCTGTGAGTGACAAGAGGAAGCAGGTGGGGGCCTGCAGCTACTTGGAAGCCTTGGGCTGAAGACCCATTCTGTCTGTCATTCACTGACTGTGTGAGCTTTGGAGTGACCACTGCCTCTCTCCAAGGCTTGTAGAGGGAGGTGGGTTGGAGTTCTGGAGACACCTTAGGTGCTAATGGCTAAGAACAGGCAACCACACTTGGGCTCCTAAGGGCAGGGCAAGTATTTGATAAGATCAGGAGTTAAATAGCAAGGACCAAGGTGCTGAGGAGACTAAGGGCATCCAGTGTGGAGGATGAGTATGTGTGTCTTCCTAGGCTCGTGCTCTGCACTCAGGGGACACACCAGAAAGACCACTGGGACAGCTCCCAAGGCCCAGGAAGGCACTGCTGACACCTCCATCCAGTCTCTAAGGAGCCAGCCTGGAATACTGCTGTCCCCAGCACTGCCCTCTTCCCGGAACAGGGGGTGGCCTGAGAGGGGTGGGACTGGACAGTGCCAGAAGGGGTTTCTGGGAAACCTGTGGATGGCTCCACCCAGCCTGGGCCCTCTTTCTCATACCTGGCCTCAGGTTTTACCCTCAGGACAACGGGTAAGTCCCTAAGTGCCTCAACTTCTCTCTCATGTCAGCTGCCTCCTTGTCCCTCGATTTCTCTAAGGGACACTGTGCTACTCATTCCTGATTTTGAAAGGATTAGCAGGGTGGCATGCCAGCAAAACCAGATGGAAATAAAGTTGATTGAACCCAAACAAATTTGATGTTTCTGTGTGAGTGTGGACAGTCAGACAGGGTTAGAACCTCCGAAGGTGTAAGTAGGGCTGCTGCGATTATTAGCTTGCAAAAAGACTAGAGAAGTCACCAAGAAGTTGGTGGATATAGTGTGTGGTGCAAAAGAGTTGCCCAGCTGGTTAAGCATTCATTGCTGCCTTTATGGGACTCCAACTAAATGAAGAGTCTGGTTTGGCGGCAGCCGACAGAACGGGAAAAGATCTTCACCAGCCCACATCAGACAGAGGGCTGATCTCCAAAATATACAAAGAACTCAAGAAATTGAACACCAAAAGATCACATAATCCAATAAGAAAATGGAGTACAGACCTAAACAGAGAACTCTCAACAGAGGAATCTAAAACGGCTGAAAGACTCAACATCCTTAGCCATCAGAGAAATACAAATCAAAACAACTCAGAGATTATATCTTACACCTGTAAGAATGGCCAAGATCCGGGCTAGTCATGAGTCTGGACCTCAGAGGGAGTAGGCCTGAGCCAGAACCTCTGTGGGTCTGGGCATTGGTCTGGGACATCAAAGAAAACAGACAGGAGCCCAGTACCTCTGCGGGTCTGAGCTTGAGTCTGGGACCTCTGAGGAAGTAAGCAGGTCCTCTGTGGGTCCAGGAACACCCGAGTCTGGGACCTCCCAGGCAGTAGACAGGAGCCAGAAACCTTTCCAGGTCCAACTCCAACCCAGGGACTTCTGCAGGAGGGGTTCCAGAACAGGATTTATAGACACAGGTCGAAGCTGGTAACCTAGGCCAAAGTTGCCCTGAGGCAAGAAACTCCACCTTGGGCAACAAATTCCACAGGAGTGGGACTTGGCTACCTAGGACAGAGAGGGCCTGAGGAAACAAGCTCCACCTGGAGCTGAAGCCAGGAGCAAATCCAGTCCCAGGAGCCAACTCAGTCCTGGAACACTGGCAGGTAAAGATTGAGGCAGCGACCTGATCCAGAGTCTGCAGTCTCCACCAGAACAGGTACAGGGCTATAACCACTGAGCAAGTGAGCCAAAGCCAGAGACCATTGAGGGTCCAGACGTGATTCTGGGACCTTCAAGGGAGTATACCTAAGCTAGGACCCCTGTGGGTCTGGGAATGAGTCTAGGACCTCCCAGGAACTAGGCCTGAGCTAGGACCTCTGTAATCTGGGCATGAATCTGGGACCTCCGAGGAACCAGAGATCTCTGCAGGGCAAGGCGTGAGTCTGGGACCACAGAGGGAGTAGGCCTGAGCCAGGACCTCTGTGGGTCCAGGCATTGGTCTGGGACATCAAAGGTAATAGACCTGGAACCTCTGTGGGTCAAGCTTGAATCTGGGACCTTTGAGGGAATAAGTAGATCCACTGCAGATCTGGACGCATCCAAGCCTGGGACATCCTAGGCAGTAGACCAGAGCCAGAAACCTTTCCAGGTCCCACTTCCACCCAGGGGCTTCTCCAGGAGGGGATCCAGACCAGAATTTAGAGAAACAAGACAAGCCAGCAACCTAGGCCAAAGTAAGCCTGACACAGCAAACTCCAAGAGAGCAGAGTAAAACACAGGATCGCTGAGCTATTTCCAGGAACACGGAGTAACCAATGGGGTAACTAGAACCGTGACAATGACTGTACCACGAGGAACAATCATCTGAGCTTTGGATTTGCTGGCACCTAGATGATTATTCAACAGAATCTCAAACAGCCCCAACCACACCTATCAAAGGAAACAAGACAAGGTTGTCCTCTCTCACCATATCTATTCAATATAGTTCTTGAGGTCCTAGCTAGAGCAATAAGTCACCAAAAGGATATCAAAGGGATACAAATTGGAAAAGAAGAAGTCAGACTCTCACTGTTTGCTGATGGTATGATAGTTTACATAAGTGATCCCAAAAATTCTACCAAGGAACTTCTACAACTCATAAACACTTTTAGCAATGTAGCAGGACACAAGACTAACTTCAAAAAATTAGTAGCCCTGCTGTACACAGATGATAAAAGGACTGAGGAAGAAATCAGAGAACCAACAACCTTCACAATAGCCACAAATAGCATAAAATATCTCAAAGTAACTCTAACCAAACAAGTGGAAGACTTATATGACAAAAACTTTAAATCTTTGGAGAAGGAAATTGAAGAAGACACCAGAAAGTGGAAAGACCTCCCATGATCTTCAATAGACAGAATTAACATAGCAAAAATGGCAATCTTACCAAAAAAAATCTACAGATTCAACGCAATGCCCATCAAAATCCCAGCAAAATTCTTCAAAGACCTCAAAAGAACGGCACTCAACTTCATTTGGAAAAGCAAAAAACCCAGGATAGCCAAAACAATAGTGGGCAATAAAAGAACTTCTGGAGGCATCACAATCCCTGACTTCAAACTCTACTACAGAGCTACATTACTGAAAACAGCCAGGTACTGGCATAAGAACAGACAGGAGGATTGATGGAACTGAAGAGAAGACCTGGATATCAATCCACACATCTTCAAACACCTGATATTTGACAAAGAAGCAAAAAAAAAAATCAAATGGAAAAAAAGCATATTTAACAAGTGGTGCTGGCATAACTAGATAGCAACATGCAGAAAAATGAAAATAGACCCATATTGCACATAGACCACCATGCACAAAACTCAAGTCCAAATGGATCAAAGACCTCAACATAAAGCCAGCCACACTGAGCTGAGAAGAGAAAGTGGGAAGTACACTTAAACACATTGGCACAGGGAACCACTTCCTAAATATAACCCCAGCAGCACAGACACTGAAAGAAACAATTGTTGCGGGAGGTCTTTCCGCCCCTCCAACCAATAGCTGCTGTGATACCAGCCCATTGGGGCGTGGTCTCACTCCCTTTAAAAAAGCGGCTATTTCCTCTGCTCGCTCTCTTCTCTTACTGCTCCGCTGGAGACGAGACTCCCTTCCTGGTTGCGCAGATGGCTGTTGTCTGGGATTGTGATCTGTAAGTTTTTTCCCCTTTAAATAAATAACACCCTATTAATCATAACTCCAAACTGGTGTTGCCTTGTTCGTGACTTACGCCTTCAAACAATTAATAAATGGGACCTCCTGAAACTGAAAAGCTTCTGAAAAGCAAGGACACAGTCAACAAGACAAAATGACAGCCTACAGAGTGGGAAAAGATCTTCACTAACCCCACATCAGACAGAGAAATCAAGAAATTGGACACCAAAAGATCACATAATCCAATTTTTAAAAATGGAGTACAGGGGCTAGAGAGATGGCTCAATGGTTAAGAGCATTGCCTGCTCTTCCAGAGTTTCTGAGTTCAATTCCCAGCAACCACATCATGGCTCACAACCATCTGTAATTAGGTCTGGTGCTCTCTTCTGGTCTGCAGGCACACACCGAATTTTGTATACAAAATAAATAAATAAATGCTTTTTAAAAAAAGAAAAGATACAAAATTAAGTGATAAATATAAAAAAGTATGGGCAAGATAAAAAACACTGATGATAACTTATGCTGGAGATGATGTGGGGTAAAGGGAACACTCCTCTATTGTTGGTGGGAGTGCAAACTGATTTGGCTGCTTTGGATGTCAGTGTGGCGATTTCTCAGAAAATTAGCAAACAACCTTCCTCAAGACCCAGCAATACCACTTTTGGGTATATATCCAAAGGACATGTGCTCAACTATGTTCATAGCAGCTTTGTTTGTCATAGCCAGAACCTGGAAACAACCTAAATGCCCCTTGTGACCAAAGAATAAGAAAAATGTGGTACATTTACACAATGGAGTACTACACAGCAGAAAAATTAATAATATTTTGAAATTTGTGGGCAAATGGATGGATCTAGAAAACATCATATTGAGTGAGGTAGGTAACTCAGACCTAGACAGACAAATATCATATGTACTCACTCATAAATGGCTTTTAGACATAAAGCAAAGAACAAACAGCCTACATTTCACAATCCCAGGGAACCTAGACAACAAAGAGGACCCTAAGAGAGACAAACATGGATCTAATGTACATGGGAAGTAGAAGAAGACAAGATCTACTGAGTAAATTGGGAACCTGGGGAACCATGGGAGAGGGTAGAAGGGGAGTGGAGTGGAGGAAAACATATAGCTCAATAAAAACAATTTAAAAATTAAGAAAAAAAGAGTCCGGTTTGAGGAGGGGGACCGACTGGTGGCTTCATTTTGAGCTTTCCGGAGTGCCTCCAAAAACTGCCCTGCTGAAGGGAAGGCTGGGCAAGGAACAGGAAAGGAGGAGCAGGATCGGGGTCTCACGGGCTGTGACCAGTAGAGGGCGCAGCGGATACAGGTATGTGACTAGATTGCCCGGTGGCCCGGGACGAGAGAGAGAAGCCAAGAGGCCACCAGGGGGCGTCGCAGCCTTTCCGACTTGGGGAGACTATTAGAAGTGCGGGGCAGTTAGGTGCGGGGAGAGCAGGACTTCCGGCCGGCCAGACTGGGCTGGCCCGGGTTGAGTCAACGGAGGCTGAAGTGATGAGATCACTGCAAGCGAGGAAGTGGATTAACGGTGCCTGCACCACTTAACGGTGCCTGCACCAGTCAGAGCTCCACGGACTCCTCAGTGCAGCCTTGCCTTGGCTGGGGTGCCCGTCCTGACAAGACAGATTGTGGCTGCAGATCCTCACACCTGACTCACTCAGCACTGAGTGCATGTGGACACAATCCTTATGCCCATTAACCTACCTGGCGATTCTTGGTTCTTTTCTAAAAGCCAGCGACCCGGTGAAAAACAAGAGGCAAGGAGACATAGAACGCTGGGAGTCCCAGACAGGGCCCTGCTCAGGAAGGCTGCGCTGAGCACCCGGGCTCTCCTGGCCTTTCTCTAAGAAAGCACCTATTTCTCTCGGACTTCACCACCTTCACCACCGCCTTCCTTCCTCCAGGGCTGGGCTCATCCACCTGCCCACACAGCCAAGCCAGAATGGCACTAGAGTACAAACTGGTTGAGGCACTACAGGGAAGAGAAGCTGGGGCCAGCGTGGACCATGCTTTATCCGGTATGGCCCATGGTTGCCCTCGCAATGCATGATGGAGGCTGTCAGGGAATTTAGCTGGAACTGTGTGAGGATGAAGACCCAGGGACCTTTGAGGAGATCCTGAAAAGGAGAAGGCGGGAGAGGAAGCAGTGTCTGTCCTTCGGGTTCAGAACTCACTGAGGCAAAGTCTAGATACTATGGTGGTTTGTGGCACCCCGGGCTTTCCAACCCTCTCCCCAAGGTTCTCGTCAAGTCTCCCATGGCAGGGTTCTACCATCTTCTCTGCTCTGTGGATGAAGAGAGTTCCAGAAGCAGATAGAGGGCTAGAACAGGAATCCTCCACCACCTGCAGGGCTTCCCTGGCAAAGCAGCAAACAGGAAGCTCAGTCCTGGCTAGGCTGGGCTTCCTGGGGAAGGGGGGGGCTGTCCTGGAGTGACTCAGCAGTGCCCTGCACAGAAGGTACTTAGCCTGTGCCTCAGAAAGAGGTCCTGTATGGAGTAGGGTCGCAGCGCCTGTCACCTCTGTCACACTATCAGGACCCAGCAAGGTGTCTTGTCCTGGGGTTTAGGAGGTATTGGAAAAGAATCCCACCCTGGACCACAGGTAGAGGCTTGAGCATTGCCCAGGGCCTCTACCAGGTTCCTGCAGCCTCTGGATGCTGTCTCATACCCCCCTCCCCGTTGCTCACCACACCCTGGCCTCCTACAGCTCTGCCTCAACCTCACTGGGGGCCTTTGTCACAGCTCTGAGACCCTGTCTGTGGGCCTCACTCCTGCATAGGGAGAGAAAGGGTCCCATTGTCCTGGTGTTCACAGTGACTTAGCAGTTCCTGAAGACTCTAAAAATGCCCAGTCTGTCTGTCAGGGAGCTTTTTCAGGCACTGCAGTCAGATCCTGGCCTACAGTGCCTGCCCCCTCTCAGGGCATGATGCAAGCAGCTTTCCCTTCCTCAGATCAGGGCCTTTCTTCAGGGCTGGCTTCTGTTTGGCTTGCTGCAAAATAGCCAGTTTCCTCCTGGGCAGAGTAACTGATAAGTTCAGGAACAGAGCCTAAGGAAAGACTGGGAAAGAGAAGCAGATAGGATATGAGGACACTGTCCCACTAAGCTAAGTGGGTGGACCCTGAGCCTGTGGGCACCCGGATGGCTTTGTCTTGGTGTTTAGGTTAATTGTTAACAGAAAGAAGACGGTTGGCCACTTAAGGCTGGAATTAAATACTACTCATATTTGATGCTCAGAGTGAGGCACCCAAAGCTCCCTGGCCCATGTTCTGCTGACCCCAAGTGTCCTCTGGAGACATCAAGGACAAGATGCATCACTCTGTACCTCAGTTTCCCAGGTGCAGTGAGTCCAAATTCTCTGGCTGGGAGGAGGGAGAAGAGTGGGGACTGGGGCCTCCACTAATGGAGAACCCAGGAGGAGGCACCCTTCCTGGGGCCCAGGGCCGACAGACTGTGAGCAGCTGAGCCCACAGCTGCAGGGTGGGGGTTCCTCGACAGAGGCCTCCTGGCACCTGCCTCAGTTATTTATGGAGCCACAGCTGAGTCCTGAGGGTGGGGAGGGAGGATGGAACTGGGGAAGGGAGGGTATTATGGCTGAAGGAGGAAGCTCAAGAAGAAGACGCCAGGACCTGGGACCCATCATTTTGAGGCAGGGCATGCAGAATGGCAGTTAAGTTCCAAGATGGACATTGGCATTGGAGCACCTGGGCAGCAGGCCTAGAGAGAGCTGAGACAAGAGGCGGGCCTGCAACCCCGATTGTTGAGTTAGAAGTGGGATGCAGGGGTTCAGTGTGAAGGAAGCAGGGACCCTAGAAGGCAGACTGATGGGGTCCTCACTGTCGGCCCCTCTGCTCCTGAGACAGGCTGTGCCCATGGCTCTCCTGCGATGCTCAGGGACAGCTGCTGGCAACCTTTCTCCACTGCTGTACCAGGGACACTCTGTTGCATGTCCTTCCTCCCCTAAGAGGTGAGCCGGGTGCAATAGGAACTGGGGAGTCTTCCCTAAGTCAGAGTCTAATTGGGTTTTCTGGGCTGGTGGGCACCCCTCCCTGGAGAAGTAGAGACCGTACATTCCAGACAAAATGAAATCACATTTCTTCACACACACTCCCACCAGAGAGGATGGCATGACGGACAGGTCAAGTGGCAGCAGCTGGTGTCCCAGGGCGAGGCTGGGTGTGGACTGTGGGCAGCAGAGGAATGGAGGGGGTTTCTTTCAGACAATGAATGATTGCTGTCTTCGACCCAGGGCTGAGCCCTGGAGGTCGAGGGTGATGTCATTCACACCAGAACTATTTGGAAGGATTTGGTTCACCCAGTACCTTACAGAGGGAAAGCCCAGGCTCTGTGGGTGCAATGGCTCGAGGTCACCTTCTGAGAGCCCCACACAGATTGGCTGTGACTCAAAGCCTAGACTTTGATTTCCTCTGAGACTCTGGCAGCTACAGGGACAGCAGCAGGCTGGACTGCAGGGAGCCTCTGCCCCTGACCTCACCCTTGGAGGCGCCTCAGCCTGCACTGCCTTATAAGGAAGTGCCCCAAACAAACCGAGGAAGCCACCTCCGCCCGACACCCCCCACCCCCAAGCCTGTCTCTGGCTAGCTCAGAGGCTATATTTACCCGAGGAGGCCCCAGAATAACCTCCCACTGTCTCAGGCTGTGTGTATGTTGGGGATTGTTTCTTCTCTTGCCCCCTCCTCATTCCCTTCTGTGGGGACTCCACCCTTAGAAGTGTGTCCTGCTATCCCTCATTCACCCTGTACTCAGAGACTTCCGGCACCAACCAGTTCCCTGAAGCACTGTGATCCCTGCCCTGTTTGTGTCAGCCTTCTGCAGGGCCCCCTCCTCCTCTGTGAGTTTCAGGGCCTCTGTGGGCCTCTCCTCACTCTATACGTGCTCTGCTGAGATTCCAACCCTTGTCCCTACTTGGTCCTCTCTCCTGAGTCCCAAGGCAAAATGACACCACCCACCCGTCCACTGGCAGCCCTGGCCCATGCCTTCCTGTGCTCCTCATCTCTCACACAGCTCCTGAGACCTCACTTTGTGCCCCCAAGTCTTACTGTCCCCTACTGCACCTTGGCCTGCACCTCCACCACTGGCAGGCTCCTGCCTGTTCCTGCTCAGCCTGTTCTCAGGAAACGGAAGTCCTGGTGGTGGCACCTGTGCACAGGCCTTTCAGAAGATCCATGTCTCTGGAAGAGCCCATGCTTCCTGGCTTCTTGGTGAGGGCTTTACCCACTGCCAGGACTTCCTGTAATCTCCCCAAGGCCTTCTCCCTGCCCCCATCCCACCACTGCCTGTTTTGTCTTCCACTGTTCCAGACCTCTTCTGTCCTAGGCACTACTGTCTTCCCCACCCTCACCCCTAGTATTCTCCCCAGCACTGGCCACTCAGGGCGGCCTGCCCTGCCCTATGCCCCTACCCAGCATGTGTCTGTCTTCAGACACAATTTCCACTTGGTAACCTTTGCTCAGGAGCTTTGCTTTGTAAAGCTTCCTGTACAAAGAGCTTGAGTTCTCAGAGCCCACACTGTGTAGATGGTCGGTTAAAATGACAACCACACTGATCATCACAACCAGGGGTGTCCCTGGCATTGTCTAGCTCTTGCCTCTCTTGCTGTTTGGACATAGAACCATTTCCATACACACTGTGCCTCCTACTGTATGTATACCCCTTAGGGAAGTCCTCATTTCATCCTGAGCCCTGTGTGGAGTTCTAGCATCAGTGCCCAGCTGGGATAACTGTAGAGGACAATAAGCTTGTGGGGGTACAGGATGGGGATCTGGTACAGGGGAGGGCTAGTTGACTTAGTTCTGTCCTTGGTGTCCATCCAAGCAGTGGTACCCAAAGGCCTGGAAAGAGGAAGCACAGGATGTCTTGTCCAATTAGAGGGGCAGGTTTTGCTTGCCTGATGCCAACATACTGGTCTCTGTCCATCAGCTGGCAAACCAGACAGGAGAACCTTGTTATTAGTGTACAGAAAGGAGAGAGCGGATGCTTGGGCTGCCAGGAGGGTGGGGTAGGAGAATCAGGATCCTGAACCCCCAGGGCAAGGGTGTGGATGAAATGAACTGGAACCAGAGCAGTTTGGAGGAAGAGGAGCCCACAGAGGAGCCCACAGTGCCAACTGGCTAGCACAGCCTTTGTCTACCCTCCCAAGGGGAGAAGGAGCCTATTCTGGGCTTATGATGGCATCAGTGTGGGCAGCCAGTACCATCTCCATCATGGCATCTAAATGGACATCTGGGCACTGGGCTTCCTCCCTGCAGAGCATAACTGGCAGGTACTTTCTATCTGGGTATCCCACCTTTGAGCCTGTGGGTACGTCTTGCCCTGCACAGATGTTGAGAAAGAGCCCACTAGCAGAACCTGGTTCTGTGCCACTCCTAACATTGCACAGTGTGCCACACCCTTCATGCCCTCACCTGGACAGCTCCCTCATGTTCCCCCTGGGCCTTCTAGCCTTTCCTCTTGTCTCCTGCTGCGGCACATGCCAGGAGAGCTCCGTTGAGGACTGCAGAGGCTTCCCCTGGCCTCTCTCCTGTTCTCCCAGCCTCAGGAGACCACCCAGGGCATAGGGCAATTCAGCTTCCCCTCATGTGTGACCAGGTCTGGAGAAACTGTTGACCCGAGGCTACACAGGCAGACTAGAGCAGGCCAGGCCTCTCTCCTCCCTCCCCAACTCCAACCCAGTCAGTCAGTCATCACAGGCTAGACAACTGTTTAGGTTGTTGGAAACCAGGGGGCTAATTATGCAGGAGACACTGAGGGGTTAGGAGGACATCCAGTGGGGAGGGCCTTGTAATCAGTGCTGTTGGTGGAGAGGACAACCTGGCCTCCCCCAGAGGCAGCCCCTCTATTACACTGCTTCTCAACCAGAAGGACCCCCCTGAAGCCTAGATGGAAGGCACCAGACTGTATAGGGAGGGATGCAACTTTATTTAATCAAGAAAGAGCAGAACAAAGTCTCAGCAGGCTGAGATGAGGTGAAAGGTCAGTCATAATTGCTGCCCTCAGCTCCTCTGGGCATAGGCCAGGCCTGACCTTGTGGGGATGGCACTACTGTAGACAGGCGGGGCTCACAAGACCTGGCCAGAGCAGCCCCTGCGAAAGCTCTGAGCCCAGGCTTCTTCCAGCAGGTGAGATGCAGAAGAAAGGCGGCCTAGAACTACAGGGGCTCACCTGGCTTGAGCCTTCAGGAGGCCCTGACAAGACCTCATCTCCCTCAGCCAGCCCCCTCTTCAGGACACCACAGGTCAAGCTATCAAAGCTAAGGGTTCTGGCCCAGATCAGGAAGGACATCCCCTCTACCATTAAGTCTTCAGAGCCAGAGAAGCATTCTCTAGTCTTCCTCTGAGGACCAGGAATCTCCATCTACTCCACTCAGAGGGAATTCCAGGGACTGACTTGGGCCTAGGTGCACAGGAGAAACTACCAAAGGGGCCTTTAGGGCACCCACTTCCTGTTCCTGTAAAAGGCGTCCCTGGTCCTGGTCCCCATCCAGACCTTCCTGCCCCTCAGACTGCTCCAATCCATTGTCCACCCTTCCATTCATGTGCTCTAACTCCGAGTTGGGGCTCTGGGTATCTCCAACCCCTGGGACCATGCTAGTCACCTCTTGGGGGGCATCCAAATGGTCCTCTCCCTCCAAGGAAACAGACTCAGACTCCTCTGACCCAGAAGGTTCAGCGCTGTCCTGAGACTCAGTGTCCAGGGCAGTCACAGAGCTATTAGCTGCAGTGCCTCTTAAGCCATCATCCCAAGGACCACTGACACCCACAGATCCCTGTTCCAGGAGGTCCCCTCTTTGGGTGATATCCTGGACCTTGAAACCCCCACCAGAGGGCCCTGGCCCCCACCACTGAGCCCCTGACCCAGCCTCTTCCCCATGCTCTTCTTCTCCCTCCTCCCCACTCTCCTCTTCATCAGCAAAGCCGTCAGACTCCCCGCCCTGATCCCAGCATTCAGGCTCCTGTACTGAAGGAACCTGGCCCAGATGATCCGCCGCCCCCTTGGGAACCCCTGGAAGAAAAGAGGCCTCAGTCCCCAGGTCCTCAAATTCCTCAGATGACAGGTCAGAGTCAGGACCTTGCTTCTCCTCCCCGGGTGGGTTGCTGAGGACAGGAGGACCCCAGCCTTCCTCCCTGGCTTCTCCTTGAGGGGAGAGCCTCTTCTCTCCAGCTAGGTCCCACTTTGGGGAGGTAGGGGACCTCAGGTAGAGGCCCAGGGGAGTAGAGTCCGGGAGAGTTTCTCCTAACTCATCTGCCTCATTCTCTTCTCTGCTCTCCTCCCAATCCTGGAGGCCCTCGGGAGTCTCCCCCAGACCAAACTCTTGCTCATCTCCTACTTTCCTCAGAGCTTCAGACCCACCTCCTAGCTGCCACCCAGCTTCCTGGATTTCCTCAGCCTGGGGCTGCAGCTCACAGGCATCTTCCAGGGCTGGGATGTATGAAGAAGGTTCCATGAACTTGGGACCAGGGAGTGCCGGTACAGCCTGTGCATCCTCATCTTCCTCTGTCTCTGAGAGCCTGGGCTGAGGGACAGCACTGCCCTCATGGTCTGTCTCCACTGAGGCCTCCTCTACTCCCCAGGCCACCGCAGGCTCTGACTCCTTGAAGCTCTTGGGTTCTAGAGCATCCCTGCTAGTCTTGGGCAAGTCAAAGATCTCTGACTCCAGAGTGCCTGCCTCCGATGGTCCTTCCAAGTCCTGAGCTATCTTTACCTCCACACTTTGCTCCCCCAGTGATGGGTGCATGGCCTCCTCCCTGGACAGATGCTTTGGCTCCCCTAACCCTATCACTTCCTGCTCCAGTCCATCTCTGGTAGCAGCCTCTGAGCCCAGGGCAAGCTCTTTGGAGTCTTGTTCACCTGTTAGGGCTATAGCCTCATCTTGCAACAGGGGCTCTGTCACTTCTGGCATTCCCTGGGCAACTGGGACCTCTAAGGTCTCCACCTGCTCTGGTGGTCCCTCCATGTCCTGGAAGGCCTCAGCGCTCCCCTTCCTGCTGTCTTCCTCACTGGGGACCCTCTGCTCCTTGGGCTCAGAGCTCCCCAGGCTACAGGCCTCCCCTGTGACTTGTAGCCATAGCTCCCTGTCCTCAGCAGCTTCTTCCTTCCCACTTTGCCCAGTCAGGGGCAGCTCTGCCTCTTCCTCGCTTTCCACGCCTGTCCTCCCTAGGACTGGGTCCTGATTCACTGCTCCGTCCTCCACCATGTCCTCCCACCTCTGTTGCTTTCCAGAGCCAGGCAGCTCCTGCCCCACCTCTGCCAGAGACCTCGCTGATTCTTGCTGCTCATTCCTATCTAGGCAGCCTTCTGCTTCCAGCTGCTGCCCAGCCGCCCCCATCCCTTCTAGAGAGTCCACAGTCTCTAGGTTCCACTTGCCCAGAGATCTCAATTCTTGATTCTCCCTTTCAAGGGGTCTCAGGGTCTCTTGGTTCCCATACACATACCCCAGTGATTCCTGAATTTCATTTTCTAGAGGTTTTGCTGTCTCTCTAGTCACTTCTGGAGACCACAATGGCTCTTGCACTTGCACAGAGTTCACTGTCTGCAGGCCCGCCTCAGCACTCTTCAGTGGCTCTATGTTCTCTGTGTCTGAAGACTTCACTGTCTCCGCTCTTCCTTCCAGTGACACTGGGCTCTGTCTTCCAAAAGGCGTCTCTAACTCTGGCTGTCTCACTGCCAGCTGCTCATCCCCTACACCCCTCACTATCTGTCCAGTCTCTTGTTGAAGAGATCTCTGTATCTCTTGGTCCCGCTCTTCAGGAGACCACAGGGACTTTGGAGTCTCTTTCCCCAGAGATCTAAAGATCTGCTGGTTCTCATCTTCAAAAGACTTCCCCGAGTCCTGACTCTCTGTGTCTAGGTTCTCAGTCATCCAGTCCTTTTTTTCAACAGAACTCAGTGGTTTATGGCTCTCCCTTTCTAGAGATTGCTTGACCATCTGCTGCTCTTCTTCTAAAGACCCCAGGAACTCCTGATCTTCTTTTTCTAGATAGTTCACAATCCCCTGGCCCTCTTCTTCTAGAGACCTCTGTGGGTCCTGGGTCTCCTGGTCTCTGTCTTTATGAGACCTCGGGGACTCCTGAATCTCGTTTTGGAACAGGCCCCCAGTCATCTGGTCATTGTCTTCTAAAGACCTCTGTGGGTCCTGGGTCTCCTGGTCTCTATCTTTATGAGACCGCAGGGACTCCTGTGTCTCATCCTGTACCAGGCCCTCAGTCATCTGGTCACTGTCTTCGAGAGACCTCAGGAGCTCCACTTCTTTTACTAGAGGTTTCACAATTCTCTGCTCCTCTTCTATTTCTAGAGATTTCAGTTGCTTCTGATTCTTGCTTCCTGGTGGTATAATGGTCTCCTGGATTTCATCAAGAGACCTCAGAGATTCCTGATTCTCTCTTTCTAGAGGCTTCACAATACTCTGGTCCTCCTCTTCCAGAGACCTCGGGGACTCCTGACCCTCCTTTTCTATCAGCCTCTCAACCAACTGGTCCTCTTTTTCTACAGACTTTAACGGCTCCCCATTCTCTTTCTCCAGACATCTATAGGTCTCCTGGTCCTCCTCTTCCAGAGACCTCAGGAACTCTTGACCCTCCTTTTCTATTAGCCTCTCAACTATCTGGTTCTCTTCTTCTGGACATCCCAGTGGATGCTGGCTTTTCTTTTCAAAAGCTGTCAATGGCTCTAAGTTCTCTTCTGAAGATCTCACTACTTCTTGGTTTTCTTTTCCTATAGATGAAACAGTCTCTAGTGTACTTTCAGGAGATATTAATTCTTGATCATCCTCAATTCCTGGGTCTTCTTTTCCTAAAGGCTTAGACAGCTCAGGAAGCCCCCTTTCTAGAGTTTTCTCTGACTCTACATCCTTTTCTTCTAAAGACTTCAGCAGTGTCTGTTTTTCTTCTGAGCTTTTTAGAGTTCCCAGGGTCTGGTCTATAGACCTCAGAGAATTGCAATTCTCCTTCCCTGGTGTCTCGTGGTTCTGGATTTTCATAGACATCAGTGGCTTCTCTTCTGGAGCCTCTAGGGTTTCCTTTTGCAAAGGACCCTGGGAATCCTGGATTTCTTCCATGTCCAGACCATCTTCTTGTGTCTCCTGTGCCGAGCTATGCTCTCCTTTTACCTCTATGGCAGCTTCTTTCTCTACTAGCTCCCAGATTTGCCCTTCATCTTCCTGGAACATGCTAGACACTCTAGACTCACTGGATTCTTCATCTTTAGTCTCTAACACAGGGTGGGCTGAGGAGGTCAGATCTTTGGGTAAGTGGCTGAGCTGCTTGCCCCCAGGCTCCTCACTGGTGGAAACAGACACGGTGGCTTTGGTCCAGAGAAGCTCTGGACCCTGTTGCCTCCCACCCTGTGTCTGCAGCAGGGAACGAGGGGCATCCTGGGCTCTGGCTTCTGCTTTTGTAGGACAGGGAGCCTCAGGCATGGGTGGGATGGGTGTGCTGGCCAAGGTGGGGGTTTGGGCCTGAAGGAATCCCTGGGTCTTCCGAAAGGCTGTCACTGGCGTCTCAAGGGTATTGGGCACAGGGGAAGGGAGGGGTGTCGGACTGAGGACAGGGAGCACAGATCCCAGGTGCTGATCCTCTGGTGTCCGAAGGAAATGCAGCTTCAGCTTGGGGTCTGGAAAGCAGAGTAAGAAATGTTTTAAGTATGCCCCGACCTCACCGTGGAGCAGCCCTCACACCGTTGCCTGACCCCCGCTGGCTAGAGGATGGGAACACGGCACAGCTGGGGTTATGTAGGGCAGACCTAGACTGCTGTGCTTAGGAAGGATCTTCCTAAGTAAGTGGAAGTAGAGCTTCCAGGAGCAGTTGGCTCCGCCTCTTACCGTGAAAGCCACGGGAAGCCTGGGAACTTCGGGCAGGTGTTTGCAACCGGGAATTCTCAGCCTCCAGCAGAGTCCTTGCGGGGGAGAGGAGGGTATGGGGGGGGGGGGTATAGGGTCAGTTTCAGCTGAGATGCCATGTCCTGAAACAGCAGGCTCACTCTCTATGACTATAATCATACAAAAGCTACACAGTCAGGACAGATAGCACAGACTTGGTCACAGGAAGACCCCACATGCAGATTCCCATAGTTAGACACCGGCCACTGAATGGCTAATGCTCAGATCAACCTCCTCAGACCAGTCTCCGGCTCCCCACCCACCGCCGAGAATGATGACCTCATCCTCTGCGAGGGAGGCCGATTCTCATGCTAATTACTGCCTTTTGTCCACACCACCATCTGGAGGGCCGGAGAAGGGGGGCTCCTCAGGGGAAGTGGAATTCTCAGGCTGTTCCCGTGGGATGACTCCCTCCTCTGCTGTGCCCCCAGAGCTGGTGACAGACAAGAACAAAAGAATTCAGCTCCCCCTCTCCAAATCCTTTTCAGACTTCAAACACCGGCGGTTACATTCTTCTGTGCTGCCTAGACCCTTCCCTCAGAGCGCTGACATCTTAGGACTTCAAACTCTTCAGGGCAGAAGTCTTTACATTCATGCCCCTGCTTCAGTGGCCTGTGGAGCCGTTTGGAGGAGAAATCAATTCACAGGGGATTCCGAGTAGTCTCTTGTTTCTGTCCATGACCTACGACACTTGGTTCTGTCCTCACACAGCATCCTGCCTCCTGCCTTGTACACGTGGTCGTGAAATACTCACTGGCTCTCCTCTGGGCCCCACTTCCACCTCCACTCCTACACCTGTCTCAGTCCTACCACTTTACCGATGGATTCTGGAGAAGTGGGACACTGCGCTGGCCTGGTACTCTAGAGTGAGTGATATCCCCAGCCCTCCGCAGTGGGGCTCCCAGATGGGGTCTTTTCATACAAGTTACATATACAGAGTCTATACCCACAGAGCCAATTCGCTCAGCCTCTCCGAGGCAAGCAAAAAGAAAAGGGGGGAGGGTAAGGAACTGGGCAGGGTCAGGGACTCTAGGGCTTAAAGGAAGGCTAGGAGGCTAGCGCTTACCCTGGACACAGTTGAGCCTAGCTCAGACAGCAGGTCAGCATGAACAGGCCCACCCGCAAGGTCTCTTTTCTGAGTCTGCCCAGGTATCTCCAGGATGCGTGCACAGAAACTGCAGAGTGTCTGTCTTCAAGAGAAGTCAGATGCAGATGCCTGTGCCCTCCAGTTTCCTCCCTGAAGACTGAACTGTCCCTTTAAGCATTGCCACCTCTTCTGGTCCTGAGCTGAAGGGGCAGCAGAGGGGCTCAGGTGGAAGTCTAAGTGTGAAAGTGACAGCTGAGGTGGCCAGTGAGATGGTTCAGTGGGCTAAAGTACCCGCCAAGTTCGACAACAACCTGTTTGATCCCTGGGACTCAGAGGTCCCCATCACAGAAAATGCATACATAAATAAATGTAATACAAAACTGCAGGTGAATCTGAGGGCTGGGCAGTGGTACGGAGTGGTGAGTTCTCTCACAGAGAACTGCTCACAGCAGCGATGTGGAGCTGCTCAAAACCCCTGTAACTCCAGCTCCAGGGGGCCCAGTGTTGTCTTCTGGCCTCTTAGAACACCTGCCCAATGCTGCATATACATAAATACACATAGATAGATATTTTTATAAAGCAGCAGCTGAGGTTCACAGAAAGGACAAAGCCAAGTTCCTGGGCCCTCCAGGCAAGGAGTCAGCGCTGTGTGTGCATCTGTGTACCTGTATGTAGCCACCTCCAGACTAAGTGACATCTTGAGGTGTGCCAGTTGCTGCCCACCTTCCAGGATCTGAGCAATTTGGCTCTGTAGGCCCTGCTTCTCCTGCTCCAGGGCATCCACAGCCAGCTGCAAAACAAGCCAGGGTGAGTGAAGGGGCCTCCGCTCAGAGACTCTCCTGTTCCTCTGCCTACATCCTCCCTCCCAGAGCACTAGACTGGGTACCCCAGACAAGGGCAGGGGACACTGGAGCCTCTCCTACACTAGGCTTCTCTTGAGAATGTTGCCTAAATGGTAGCACATGTTGAGAATCCAGTTCCCATGGGAGAGGAGATGGGTTACAGAGGAAGAAAGGGGATAAAGTGGAAACAGAAGGAAAAACAATTTATCAAGAGTTGGCTTGGAAGGGCTTGCAAGGAAAGCAGTTGGGCCCTCACTGTCCCAGCTCCTCCGAGCAGCCCTGGTTCCTCTACTTCCCACGTGTTCTGGAATCTCTCTCCTCCAAGAGGAGGGGGAAGGTGGCCACTGTCGGGACTTCTGTCTGGGCCAGGCAAGAGGCTGCTTTCTCAGCTGTTGGTCACATCTGTGCAGTATGAGGGGGAGGGAGCCCCAGGCCTCTGGGAGGCGTTCCAGGCAGCTGAGAAGTCATAACACCTTGGTTGCTAGGAACCTTCTGGAGCTGAGGGAGCACGTGTTTGAAACCTTCTGATTGACAAAAGCATAGGGAAGAGCGCACGGAGCCATCCTATAGGGGAGTTGCCGATCAAAGAGTGATGAGCCGCTACAGTGGGTCTTGCCCTCCAGGCCTTACAAGTGGGTTGTACCAGAAGGTCTCAGAATTCCATCCTCCCTGCCTGGACAGGAAAGTCTAGGGTCTATGTGTTCTGGGCAAGGGCTCCTGAATACAACTGCCCTTGCTCCATTCCCTTCCTGAAAGTTTCTTAGCATCGTAAACACTTCCTACAGCTTAGTCTTACTCGGGTTGGTGACCTCCTCACCTGGAACTTTTCAGTGGCTTGCAGCCGGTCCTGCCAGCGGCCCTCCAACCTCTGTTCCAGCGCCTCTCTGCGCTCCTGGAGGCCGTCGCGTTCAGCCTGCAGCTGCAGCAGCTCAAGGCGACCCTCTCGAGCACCCTGCATGGCTCGGGCCAGTCGCTCGCGGGCTTGGCCCAGGGAGCTCTCCATGTGAGCCACGCGTTCCTGGTAGTCGCGCACCGCCCCGCGCCACGCTTCGCCTAGCCGTCGGGCCAGCTCCTCCACCTCCGGGGCCCGAGCGGGCGGTCCGTGGGGCGGCGCGGCGAGCCGGGGTGGCGCACAGGCAGCCTGCGCGTTCAGGTGCGCGCGCTCTTCCTCGTGCGCCGCCCGCACAGCCTCTAACTCTCGCTCCAGCTCCGCAACCCGGGTGCTCAGCCAGCCCTGCGCACTCTTCTCCGCCTCGAGCGCACGCCGGCTGCAGGCGACCTCCTCGCTGGTCCGGTCCCGGGAGAGCCGCACCTGCTGGCACCGACCCGCCACGCCCTCCAGCTCTTCAGCCAGGTTGTCGCGCTGCATCTCGGCCTCGTGCTTCTCCCGCCAGCGCTGATCGACGAGGACCCGCAGCGCTGCCAGCTCGTCGTCGGCTCGGGCCCGCCAGGAGGCATCCCCGGACTGCGCCCGGAGTCCCCCAAGCTCCGCGCTGAGCAGCTGGTTCTGCTCCTCCAGCGTCTTTACCCGGGTCAGGTAGGCCTCCAGGCGGCGATTGAGCTCCCACAGCTGGAAAGATTCCTCCCCTACACAACCCTCCATGTCGCTGGTCTGACCCACCGAGTGCGGGCGGACGTGCAGCACTGGAGAAGGGAGCGGCCTTCGGAGCTTTTAGGGGGAGAGAGTGGCGACTACAGTGACCCAGCGGAAGTGGAGGACTCCCGGAGGGAGCGGGAGCGAGGGTATTCATACTCCCGCCAGTCGGGCGGGAAAGGGGGCGGCACCCGGGTATTAACCCTTTAGGGTTCAGTGTGACATGCAGACCAAGCCCTGCTTCACTGGGGTACATGAGAATGGAACCAAGGAGGCCGCCCGGCCCTGAGAGATCCCGTCCAATGTGGGTGATTTTCTGAGGGAGGCTTGAGGAGGAACAGCCAGACTCCACATGAACACCCTGGATAGACAGAACTGGGCTTGCGGACTTCCTTTCTCCACACACATTCAAATCCTCTGAGACACAACTTCTCTACTACAAAATGACTTTAGTGTTGGAAACCTCGTGAACTGTTGAAAAACGGATAATGCAGTGTTCTGTGTAAAATAGTGAACACTCACCCCCATAGAGGCAACACTGCAGAGACACACACCCAGCGCAGAAAGAACCCACTACTAGGAGTAGCCTCCCTGTGGTCCGATGGTGGAGGTGGGATGGAGGCTAGCCTGGGCTATCGACACCCCTCTCCCCACATTTTTTTTAAGATGGTCGATCTCGCTATGTAGCTCAAGCTGGTCTGGAAATCATGGAGATCCTCCTGCCTTAGCTGCTGCAGCTGCCTGCGCCAGCAACCCCTGCCCAGCCAGGCCAGCTGATGTTAACAGACAGAGTGTCCATTTCTTACCCTCACAGGGACACGGGGACGTCCTGTTGCCTCCCCCTGAATCAGGAAAAGGAGAATGGGAAGGGACACCATAGGCTCAAGAAAGTTTTTCTCTTATGTCGATCCTACGGTTGTCATTACTCATTGGGAAGTTACGAAGCTCTCAGAGGTGCCCCCTGGTGGCTAACAGTGAAGTCTGGAGACAAAGGAAATAAAGATAACGAACTTAATTACAAGAGACCCTTAGTCTCAAATGTTTGAACTTCTGCCCTAGTTGATGGACCTGTTTGAGGAGGATTGGGAGGTATGGCCTTTTTGGAGAGGGTGAGTCGCTGGGAACAGGTGAGAAATTGAGGTTAGCCCCCTCTCTCTGCCTTGTGCTTGTAATTGAGATGTGTACCCTCAGCTACTGCTCCAGTGCCCTGGTCATGTCTCCTGCCATGATGGTCAGGACCCACACAGTTGTCCTCTGGCCTCCGCATGCATACTGTGGCATACATGTACCTGTACATACACACACAGAGTAAGAAATGTAATTTTTTAAATAGCTGTTTGAGTTACTGACGTGATTTTTATAAAAACTCATTTTCAGCGAGGCCAGTTGGGGGCAAATGCCTTTAATCCTGGCACTTAAGAGACAGAGCAGACCTGTCTCTGAATTTGAGGCCAGCTTGATCTACATAGCGAGCAAGTTTTAAGCCAACCAGGATTACATAGACCCTGTAGCAAAAGAAAAATTCCTTCAGTGAATTTTAGCTTAGGACTAAATTGCCAACAATTTCTGAAATGGTCCTAAGCTTACTTCTGCTATGGGCAGTCATTCATACAAATTGGCATTCTCAGCGTGGACAACTACAAAATCAAAATATCTGGGCTGGAGAGATGGCTTAGTAGTTAAAAGACCCACAGCCAGCTTTAGGGTCATCAAAGCCTCTGCGTGCATCCACACAAAGGTGTGCATACCCATGCACAGACATGTACACATAAGAAACAATGATAAACAATTTCCAAATCGAAGTATGGATCAACTCTGAAAATGCTGAAGATGTTCCATCATGGTCCTGAAGTACCACCAACCAGCTCCCAAATCATGACCTTTGGTGTGAATGTCCAGCCTCAGTTTATGCTTGTTTCTGGCTAGTTTTTTTTTTTTCTTTAACTTAAGTTAACCTGCTTTTCTTCATCTACGTTTTGCCTCAAGGTTTTTACTTACTGTTCATTCTTTATGTCCTTCTCCATTGTTAAGTGGTCCCAGGAAAACATGGGGGGGGGGAGCCAAAACAACTACCGGAGAGGAAAAGGGGAGACCACCTTAGAGCTCAGGCATCCAATTAACCTGGGTATCTTTTAATTCGGTTTGATTTGGTCTGATTGGGATTATTTGTGTCAGTGGAGAGGTTTGTTGGCAAAACCTTACTTAACATTTGGAGGTCCCACGGGGGTGGGGGCTGTTTTTCCCACGGGCCCAGGGCCACGTGTTGGAAAACACCCTCCTTGAGCCAGCTCTTCTTCACCAGGCTAAGATCAGCTTCGAACTTCGAGTTCCCCTTTTGAGTACATGCCAGTAGGGCCCGGACCCATTTACGTTTATTTATCTTTGTCGATTTTCAGGCTTTCCTGTGAGAATCAGGATCATGCCATGTGCCTGATTCAAGCAGCAAGTCAGATCTCGCTGAGGTGGGACCGAGGGGACACAGACGTCTGCCACTCACTTCTCACAACCCCCAGCCCCCCAAGGTGGGACCAAGGGGACACAGATGTCTGCCACTCATTTCTCAAGACACCTGCCCTCCCTCCCCGTTTTTGAACCAAGAGCCCTGTCCCAATGGATGCGTTGTGACAGGCTTGAGTCCCAAGATTTGGCATAGACTTTTAAATGGGCTTCTGCAATTCAAAGCCAGATCCTCTACCGCCCTGGGCTGCCTTTTACAAAATCTTTATGAATTGGGACGTCCCGTACAGTCTGAACCAAACAGCTTTCTCTATGCTCTGAATTGGCCTCAGTATGACCTTGACAGTGGGACACAGTGGCCACCAGAGGGAACTCTTGGCTTTTCCATCCTCCTAAATGACCATTTGGCACGATATTGCCCTAGGCCTCTGCCACCTACGAGGCCATGCCCTATCTGCCAGCAGCCTGGACACTGGAAATCACAATGCCCCGTGCGGGCTCATCCTCTATGCCACGCCATGGAGGTCCAGCCTCACCAACATCGGCAAGGGAGACTGCAGCCTTCGAACTACTCGCCTTGCAGAGGATTGACTCCCATCACCCTCTCCAAGCCTAGGGTAACGCTCCAGGTATCTGGTAAGTCCGTTGCCTTTCCTTTGGACATGGGAGCTACCTACTCTGTTTTAACATCTCACTCGGACCCTACGTTCTCCTCACCACTTGCAGTCATGGTGGTAGACGGGACCCGCTCTTTCCCACTTAAGACCCTGTCACTGTCCTGCATTCTTGCAGGCGATTCTTCTCTCATTCTTTCCTAGTCATACCTGCTTGCCCTGCACCTCTGTTTGGTTGAGATATTCTCAGCCATTTCGGGGACACACTCACTTTGGCCCCCACACACTCTCCTGAGTCACACTTTCTTCTCACTTTAACAGCCTCACAGGTTCCTACCCCAGACTGTTCTGTCCCTACACTCCCTTACCCAGTAGATCCCCAGGTATGGACACTTCTACTCCTGTGACTGCTACTCACCACCAGCCAGTGCTAGTTCGCCTCAAAGACCCTTCGCCCTTCCCTTCCAGACCCCAGATTCCCATTCCTGAAACCCACCACCAAGGTCTTAAGCCTATTACCACCCACCTCCTATCTCAAGGACTTTAAACTCCTATCGACTTGCCCCTGCTACATTCCCATCCTTCCTGCTTACCCCTTGGTTCATAAATGAGGCCGTTATTCCAATTCATCCACTGGTTAGCGACCCATAAAATCTCCTGTCTAACATCCTTCCTGCCACCTCCTACTCTACAGTTCTAGACCTAAAAAGATGCCTTCTTTACTGTCCCTTTACACCCTGACTCATACTGATGCCTCTTTGCCTTCACCTGGGACGACCCTGAGTCCCGGTCCTCCAGACAGCTTATGTCGACTGTTCTCCCTCAAGGTTTTCAGGACAGCCCCCATTTCTTTGGCCAAGCTCTGGCTTGAGTTCTCTCAGACTTTGACCCAGGTCCTGGCACCCCCTCCAGTGCATTGATGATCTCCTTCTCTGTAGTCCTACATTGTCTCTGTCCCAAAAGATCACTTCTGCACTCCTGAACTTCCTCGGATCCCTGGGATATCGAGTATCACCAGCTAAGGCTCAGCTCTGCTCTCCTACAGTGGTATATTTGTCTAAGACCCTCACCTCTGACAGGGTCCAGGCCCTGCGGGATTTACAGCCCCCAACTGTAGGACTCAGATCTTCTCATTTTGGGGCCTGTTAGGGTTCTCCAATCATTGAATCCCTAACTTTGCCATTACAGCCAAGCCTCTGTACCAGGCAGCCAGAGAGACTCCCACAGGGCCTCTCACCCACCCAGCCATCATCCGCCGCCACTTCTCTCTACTGCGAGAGGCCCTTCTAACAGCCCCTGCTCTTGTTCTTCCAGACCACACAAAGCCTTACCATCTCTATACAGATGAGAGGTCAGGAGTGGCCACGGGAGTTCTAACCCAACAGGCTGGGCCTTCGAATCAGGCTGTCATCTTTTTATTCAAACAGCTGGACCTCACCGTCTGTAGATGGCAGCCATGCTTAAGAGCCCTGGCAGCAGCAGTTGAACTCACTCGGGAGACTCTGGAGATCACCCTGTCCAGGCCAATCACGGTATATTCCACCTCTCAGCTCTTCTGAGTCATTCCTCTCTCTCTCTCCTTGAGCCTTCACAAATCTATGTTTTTCACTTACTGTTTTAGAAAACCCCCAAATTACTTAGGCCTCCAGTCCCTCCCTAAGCCCCACAAGTCTCCTTCCTGTCCCCCTGCGCCCCCATCCCCTCCCTCTGCCCCATACCTCCTCTCACTCTTGCCCAGAGGCTGTAGAGGCCTTAAGTTCACCTTGGCCTGCAGGCAAATCCCCACTCACTCTGTTTTTTGATGGAAGTTCCCTTAAAGACAAATCAGGAAACCTCCAGACAGCTCAGGCAGTGGTCACTTCCAATAACTCATTGAAGCAACCTGCCTGCCAATGGGAACCTCCTTACAAAAGTCCGAATTAATTGCCTTGACTACAGCACTTCAAATAGCCAAGGGCCAACGGGCTAATATCTACATTGACTCTAAATATGTCTTCTTGATAGTCCATATCCATTCTGCACTCTGGAAGGAAAGTGGCTTCCTTACTACCAAGGGCACTCCCATA